TCCCTAATCCTGCTCGTGCAATAATTAGTTTGGAGGTGGAACTATGCTGGGGACTGGCATGCCATCTGGCAGGGCTATTTGTAGCTCCTGTCCCAGTTCAGTAGAGGCTCAAAATTCAGCCCTCAGTTTACCAACAGGGATAATTTTATAGAATATAATGGTGGGTCAGCTGAGTATCAAAGGCTTAGGATCTTATATTGCATGCCATTTGACTTCTCCTTTCAAGCTGAAACGAAAGTTGATATTGGAAGTGAAACTGTAGCAAATCACTGTTTATAAAATCATCCTATTTAACTTGAATTATAAAATGTATCAAATACCCAGCCAAATTCGAAGAGGAAGGATGTACTAGAAAAACAAAATTAGACAAAACCTGAACCATGTTCAATAAAGTAGGAAATGTGTGAATGGATATGACTTAATTTAAAAACTCCACATATTTTTCTCATGACAAAGTATCAAACATCCTGGCGTTTTCCAAAAATATTGTTAATAGATGCACTATAATAATCAGGACCCCCTTCTAACTGCTGTTATATTATAGCTATGTAGCAAAGACATTCAATAACATGCAATTAAGGCTTAATTTGTGCAATGGACCAGGTGTTCCCGATAAGTAAACACATAATTAATGAGACGATGAGTGGATTGGTTTGGTTGGATCTATTAAATAGATGATGTGAGGACACGATTAAACTTGACCCTCATTTTAAAAGAATCACTGCTTAAATCTAGTTAAGAAAAGATTTTAAGCCACTGTATATTGAAGCTTTGACTGTAACATTACCCTTCATTTCAGGTGTTCCCTCTTCAGGAATAGTAGAAATTCCAACAATTTGTAAGTTATTGTACTGAATTTATGCTGAATACCATGTAATTTTAACTGCACCAAGGCAAACTGAGTAGTGTAGTTGCAAATTCACCACAAGTTTGTTTATGTTTGTCTCATTTACTTAACTCCTAAAGGTTTGCTCAAATGATGTGAAACTGTAAGCAAGTGAAGTTTATTTTTGAATTTCTTCAATGCAGGAGACCAATAGCCCAGTCAGGTCTCTGGAAATGGTTTCTCTTTTATAAGATGTGCCTTTAAGCCTCTCTCTTTAACAGATTTTTTTTAAAACAAATGTCCAAACGCTTCCTTTGACTTGGAGTCAGTTCTAGGAGGTTAGTTAAAGGAGCAAGCACACAGATTATAGATATCTTCTGCCAATACATCCTTTGGGATTCTATAAGAGAGTTATCTTGGAAATTTGTATTTATTTTTTCCTACATGTACTTGGCTCACACCAGTTTGCATTTATGGTAGGCTGATTTTTCTGGACCTTGTTGGCCAGGGGTCAGATATTAATCTGGAAGTGCATGGGTTGCCACGTCTTGTCCATTTTTGAGGAAGAAATAAAACTGAAATGCAGGTGACCCATGCCTCTAATGTATCATAAATGTTTAGAGACATGTTGAAAATCAAGCCTTTGCCTGTGCAGAGAAGGTTGATAGAATGTAGGCAGGTGCTAGGGATAGCAAGAAACCAAGTATGGGCCTAGGATGTAATAATCATGACCTGCATGTCGTCCTCCAGGCTTTAAATGATCAAAAAAAGGTTTTCATGCAAATTGACAGGAGATGAGCCCAATGAGAGTACCTCTCAGAATAGTTCTAATGGGTACAGCTTCTCCTCAGTCCCAGTGCGATTTCTTCGCACACTGTGGCAACAGATGAACCTCCTGTCATTGTGCAGGAGACTCCCACTAGTCTAGAGTCTTCCTAGATCAGAGGATAGTGGCTATGGTCATTCCTGAAGGATGTATATGGGTGATCAGTCGGTCTCTAGCACAGCACCCGTGAAAAGTATCAAGTTACCCCCATGTTAGTCACTTATGGGTGCCTTTTATTGTAGAAATTTGACCAATGTTTTAAGCTTTTGTTTGCATAAATCATTGTTCTTTTCAAATGATTAGCCAGTTGCACTTGTGTATTGCATTTTTGTGTTTGGGTATGAATTCCTTTAATTCATTTATGGAAGTTTGCTATTATGTGGGCCCCTCTGCTTGACTCATTTGGCTGATTCAAATTGACCTTACAATACCCTGGTGTTCATGATGGACAGCTACAATGTCAAGGCACTAAGGACCAGAGAGGTGTTTCTGAGCTGCATTCATTCAGCCACTGAAAACTTTCCAAGTATCAAAGGTGCCCTTGACTTGCAGGCCTCCAGACCTTCCCACAGACTGGGCTGCACAGCTATCAGCTACAGCTCAACCTCCTCTTCACAAGACCACTCACTCATCAGAGGACAGGGCAGTCTCCGTCTGTACCTCCTCTGACTGGATTTCCCCTCTCTGGAGGGCCAGGTTGTGCATAACAGAGCAAACAAGTGTTAAAAAGGGAAACTATGGCTGGTCTGTATTGAAAAATCCCACCTGATCTATCCAGGTATCTGATTACAGCTATGATGGCTGTTTGCATGTCCATCATTATATACCAATGTAGGCTCCATCCTTACTGGAGTCATCAGCCATCCATTTTAATGGGTATCATTGGTCACCAGCCATTCAAAGCTTCTATATCCTTGGTATCTAGTTGTGTCTGAGGCCCTATGCATTGTGGCTGCTTCCTAACCACAATGTGGACAGTCATGCATAACTGTTTGATTGTGATCAGACACAAATGTGCACACTTATTGAGAGCATCGTTTTTCAGTGTACGAATGCTCCTGGCTGTCCAAGTCCTGCTTTTATAGTTACATCAGTGCAATCAATCACTGTTGTACCTGCTGACAACCAGCTTTGGCTTCTGGCTCTGTCCTCTTGACTTGTGCTGTCAGATGTAAAACCCATACACTGATGTGCACGCCCAAACCTGGCACCTTTGAATTTCTTAATGTAGTGATGTGCTGCAAGTCTCACTGATATCTCCAAATTGTCTGGAATGTTTCAAAGGCGAGACACTCAATGTCATTGTTACTTTTAAGGCCAGAAGCATTGGATGACCATCCGTACAATTCAAAGCTCTCTCAATCGAAAGCACATCACATAGGGATGCAACAGTCTCTCTCAAAAGGCAGAGCCTTCAGATGCTCCAGCACCTGCAGGTCAGATATTCTCCTCCTGTCGACCTTTTTTGAGGCCTTTGCCTGCCCACTGCTGCCACTTCACAGCCCCTTTTTTCAGCAGGTTTCCAATCTTCCTGTAGCTCTGGCCAGCTGGTCTGGTCCTTCTCCTCCTCATTGGAGATGGCACCTTTAATCAAACATACAAACCCCATGGGAAAAGTGTGGTGCTGCAATCATGACGAGTGTCCATCATTTCAGCTCCTTCCCAAAGGAACTGATGCAGATAAAAATGATA